AGGTTTGCGGATTTGGTTGATAATTTCATGAGTTTTAATTTTTTTGCGCGGAACCCTAATGTTATACTAAATTAAAGGCTTTAGCCTTAGTTACTTCTTAAAACCTCAGCTATCTGGCAGGAAAGTCCTGTCAAAATCGGTCCATCCGTTTCGAAGATTAGCCGAAACAAACAGACAAACAGGCAGTCAGACTAAAATGTTTTTCCAATATGTAGGTACCGTGTATACGTACGTACATACTTTTATATGTATTTAGCTTTTATTTTGACATTAAAAACAGACTTTGCAATTATATTTATTTGTATTTGTATAGATAGATATCTAATCCTAATCAAAATTTGTACCTATTTATATACAAGTAGGCATGCAAATCTTTTACAAAATATACTAAATCCAAAATTGCGTTTGTTGGTTTTTTTTTATTTTATTGTTTGTGTTTTTGACCGACTTCAAATACAGGTATTATAGAAATGTCTTAGGTATAGAGATAAGTATCGGATTATATGTATGTTAGTCAGTGCTTTTGTGTATGTTACGACATCTTTGACAAATATCATCAACTTTCATTAACTTTTTTATGAAGAATCTCAAGTGTGATTCGATGTAAAGACAAATAAAAACCTCTCTTATAAATAGAGAACAATTAGTGGACATCATGTTAGCGTAAAAATTATTTATGGATCGTAGTTACAAAGGCTTCTCTTCATTCCTGTTCATTTACTTCACGTGAAATATGTTTATTATTATATATTAGTGTGTATATTATTTTATACTAGCATTACCCTACAAATTCACCCTCTGGGCTAATCTGAAGAATGACTTAAAATTTAATTAAAATCGCATCAGCCGTTTTAGAGTTCATAGGGAAATACATACAACACACATCGATTCACATTTATATTACCATATTACTACGAAGTAGTTCGACGATATATAATACGTATATTATACAGATATAAGCTTCTATAATATTACGTAACCGAAGTCACAATCTGTAAGTATTAACGCATAATGCGACGTCTGTCTGCATACCGTATTGACGGCGTGATAAATGAGTGTTGCAGGAAGCGAGATAAAGCTGAGAGCAGGACGGACGGACAGAGATATTAATAACAATAATTATGATACTGACTAAACAAATCAAAGTTTATTGACCTTATGTATTATATCAATATGATATACTCCTTAGTATATTTTTTCATAAGTTTATATTTGCGACTTACAATAAATTCGCTCGGATGCATCCTTATGAACGTTTTAATTTTTTTGAGCGGAAGACCAATACTTTTTTTTTTAAATAAAAAATGATTTATTAATAAAAGAGTTTTTCATATAAATTAAGTCCGTTGCTGGCACATTCTTTTAAGTAAATATATACCTGTGCCAGGATGTTCCAAATTTTCTAAAATAAAAATTGCCGTTACTCCTTATAACATCAGCAATCTGCCAGTGAAAGTCCCGTTGAAACAGTTCAGCCGTTTCGAATATTATTCGGAACAAACAGATAAGACAGATAGACATTTAAAAAAATGTGTTTTCTTATAAGTACCTACCGTATATATGCATTTATATGTATATGCGTCATATATTTCATATGCATTTACTAAAAAGCTGTTATACATAACAGCTTTTAGTAAATGCAGTGCAATGCTTTTCAGCAACTGTATGGCTTAGGGATATATAGGGCTATATAGAGAGGGAAAGCTTTTTATATAAAAACTAGTACTGCCCGCGGCTCCAACCGCGTTCAGATGACCAAAAACTAAATTCTTAAGTTTTACATATTAGTATTCTCTTACATTGCAGTTTTGTATTTTTTCATCACCATAACCAAATTTCAACAAAATCCCTCCAGTGGTTTTTCTGTGATGCGGTAACAGATAGACAGACAGACAGACAAAAAATCTAAAAACTATAGATTCGGCCTCTGTATCAATAATAATGTTTATTTCAATAAGATTTTCCAAAAAATATCTATTGTACAGATTCGGCTTAGTTACAATTCTATTATATGTATAGAAGTCGAAATACATTTTAATTATGAGCAATATTAATAGTGTAATAGCAATATTCGACGTAATAAATTCGATACTTACAATGTGAAATATATTTTAAATTTTTCATTATTTCCGATCCTAAAATCTATTTTGCTTTTGAGTTTGAGTTTTTGAGTTTTATTAATATAAGTTATAATTGACTATTGGTTAGAATCCTAAAATTTACACATTTTTTGTATTTTTAATTTTGTAATAAATAATAAAGATTATGATCTTTAAGATAATGGAGGTGTGGAAAAAGGCATACATCGCGAACGTGACAAATTACTGGCAGGAAGTGAGATAAAGCAAATAACAGGATGTTTAAATCCTACTAATAATATACACGTAGGTACGTAAAAGTTTGTGAGGAAGGATGAATGGATGTTTGTCACTCTTTCACACAAAAAGTACTAAACTGATTTTGATGAAACTTTACAGTAATATAGCTTATACATCATAGTAACGCATAGGCTGTATTTTTTTAATTTTCAAAGTAACTTTATTATAGATTAATATAATTTAAATTTTTATTTAGTTTTAATGGATACCAATTTTAGACCATCGACATTTATTAGTAATGTAATAAATTATAAAAAATACAGTGCTATAATTAAGAAAGTAGAAAAGAATAAAAATGAGAAGTATTATAATATTTGTAGTGGTATTATGGTGGCTTTCATCATATTGTGTACGTGCCCTATAAGTGAGCACGATCGCAATAATGATGTACGTTCGCGCCTACAGTCCATTGCCTACAAAACATAAATAGCTCAAAGAACATTATGGATTATAAATTATAATGCATGTATTTTATTATTATAATTAACTTTTTAAAGGAAATATAAACATGCAAAAAGATTTCATTAAAATATTCGTAAAGGCATACGCAATGCCTTGGTCATTTTACTGATAAATTATTATCAAGATATTTTACGAGTACATGTATATTAGTTTACGATTTTAATAACTTATCTTATATTTACTTGACATTATTATAGTACTACTTGACCTATAGGATAGTTTCTCAGACATATGAATAAAATTGAGGTGTCTGTTTGTAATGTCAAAATAACAGCTTTTTACTAAATGCATATGTTATTGTATACGGTATCTACTTATAAGACTGTCTGACTACTGTCTGTCTGTTACCGCATCACAGAAAACTACTGGAAGGATTTTGATGAAATTCAGTATGGTGATAGCTGGTTATCCGGGTTAACATATAGGTTACTATTTACCGCGGGATGTCACATTTCTGATAAAAAATACAAAATCTGCAATTTAAGAGTATATTTCTAATATATAAAACCTAAGAATTTGATTATTGGTCATCTGAACGCGGGTGGAGCCGCTGGCAATGCTAGTTAAGTTATACAATAGTACACTGTATTCATTTCTGAACTAAACGCTTATATTATATGACGATCAACGATGTTTGATCTAAGATCAATATAATACAATTTATGTCCAAATCTATACATATAATAAAATTGTAACTAAGCCGAATCTGTATATTAAAGATGTTTTGGAAAATCTTATTGAAATAGACATTATTATCGATACAGAGGCCGAATCTATAGTTTTTAGAATTTTTGTCTGTCTGTCTGTCTGTTACCACATCACAGAAAAACCACTGAAGGGATTTTGATGAGATTTGGTATGGTGATAGCTGGTTATCCAGGTCAACATATAGGATACTTTTTACCCTGGGAAAATATCTCATTTCTGAGAAAAAATACAAAAACTGCAATGTAAGAGTATACTGATATGTAAAACCTAAGAATTTGATTTTTGGTCATCTGAACGCGGGCGGAGCCGCGGGCAATGCTGGTCTACGTAAATAAAGACATTAATTGGCAAGTATTTAAAGAAGTTACATTCATTATGTCATTTATTTATAATAAAAGCCTCTAATACTATATATAGATAATTATACTAATATTCTAAAGAAAAGAGTTTGTTTATTTGTTTGTTTGATTGAACGTGCTAATCTCAGGAACTACTAATCCGATTTGAAAAATTCTGTTTGCATTAGATATCCCGTTTATTGAGGAATGCTATAGGTAGGCTATATATCATATAATATATAGTTATCTATTCCATACTAACCGTTAAAACGTACCTAGGGATGAACTGGAGCGAAGTGAGGGTAAGTCGCTGGTAAGTAATATAATAATGCTAGCATACAATTTAATTATTAACTAGTTCAATTTATTTATATTTCATAGTCCTTATGGTCAATATAAATATTCACTATACCGTAATTCATAATTAAATTGAGGACTTTTGTTATTATATGAGTACATATTCTGACAAATTCATATTACTATTCTCATCACCTTTAAGCTCTTACAACATCACGTTATAACATATACGTATTTTGTATGTAAGCATCGTGCTCTAATAATATGTTATCGTAACGAGTATCACATTTAAAGTATGTTCTAATGTTTGTTTCGAAATACGTTGGAACTTAGAGGCAGAGCTATCAAATCCTAGGCTGCATCGCCTTTCACTATACTTTAAATCAAATACTGTGTGCACATTGCTTAGAGCTCAGCCAGCACTAAACTATTACGAAAGGGCAAATTGGCTCTCAGATTGTATAATTGCTATCTCAACCATAATCATTTATGCTGTAGGCACTTTTCGTGTTTAGGGAGTACAGGAAAGAGAAGAAAGAATTTCGTATACATATATACACACACATATAATATTCTTTCACGCCTTTAGATACAACGGTTTATTGATTTATATGTAACATATGTTTATGTAAAACACACATATATTATTAGACATTATTTTTATGCATTTAAATAATTTTTAATTAGGGCTTTAACACGCCAGTTATCACTTTGTTAGAATAACTTGTACAGCATAACACAGACATATTAAATATTATTATCAAAAAATAACCCAACAAAAGAAACCACAGTAAATGTCTAGTTATTAATAACATACCTCCTTTATCCTCTGCAAGAGTGGCTCAAGCCAATGCACGTTGCATTCGACATGGGAGTCTAAGAATGTAAGTACTGGCGCCGTGGCCGCGTCCGCGCCTCGCACTCGAGACCGCATGAGCCCCTCTCGCTTTGAGTTCCGTATTACATGCACTTTGCGTATGGCCCTTAGAGCTGCACCGTCTTCCGCTGAAAAGATATATGGTGTTAGTAAAAGGACAAAATTAAACTGTTTTATGGGGTTTATTACGAGCTTTGACCTGCGGCTTCGCTTGTATAGTTTATGTTTAGCTTACCTAACTGCATTACTACTGAGGGTCGTAACTTGAAGCTACATAGTTTACCTTTTTTACCTTAATCACTAACCTCACCTAGCATACCTTTTTTACCTTAATCACTAAGGTTACTGGCTAGGTAGCCAGTATGAAATGCAGAAATTTATAATTCTGATAGGTTGTTTCAGAATTTTGCATATTTAAACATAAACATATATAAAATAAATAATCCATTTAGTTTTATAATATGTATTAGTAATTTCAGTAGATAATGTGATGTACCTAACTATTGGCAACAGATGTAAAAGTCAGTGAATCAATTTGTTGGGAAAAAAACTGTTGCTTCGTTATTTTGTTAAAGAAAAAAAAAACAATAAAGAATAGTCATTGAAAATGTCACATTTAAAATTCTCTAGGAAAAAAGCAAGTTTTAAATGAAATTTTATATTAAAATAGGAATGAGAATGAGTTCTTTATAACAACATTTTTTTTTATAAATTAGAAATAATTAGACAAAATTTTATATATTATGTTTATTGCATTATATTAAAACATGCATATTTACATTCATTTGAATTAGTATAAGCAGATTAGAAGATCTTAGGTCCCCTCCACAGTGCGGTGACATATAAGACAGAGGTCAAGGTTGTCTGATGGATACTTTACAAGTGCTCCGACAGAACCTTGTAAATCCATAGACAATTAGCAGATTCAGGTCATTCAACAGTGAGGTGTCACTATTGAGCAAGGGCAAACAAAACACATTTTTATTCTAAGTAGGAAAAAAATTAAGTTTGATAGGTTATTGACAGCTGCCTGTGACGCGAAGCCATGTCATCTAATTTTGTGATTAGAACCAGTTAGAACACATCTGTTATGGAACTTTTTGCTAAAATAGTTTCATAGTTTTATTTAATATACGCTTCTCAAACCAGTTTTGTAAAATAAAACAATAATTATACCCCTTAAGATTTAATGCACTAGGATAAAAAAGTCAATCTCGTAAATTAGCTCTATGCAAAGTCACTTCTATATTTTCTCTGTGGCTGAGTGGGAAAATGACAAAGTAAGCACTTTCCCATTTATAATAAGAATGTATTAATTCTAACGACACGTTTACATGCTGTGCCAGCGTTCGCGGGTTCGAGTCCCGCTGGGGGCATTCATTTGTGTGATGAGCACGAATATTTGTATTCCAGTCATGGGAGTTTATATTTATAATATGTATGTATTTAAAAGTTATAAGTAGCCTTGTAGCATACCATGGAACTAGATGTTGCTGTGTTAATGTCCCAACATATTTATTTATTTTATTTATTCTTCAGCGTTACGTAAAAAATATTAGTACATTTTTAATTAAACACGTATTTAATATCTATTAATTAAAAAAGTAATTTAATGAAAAAATAAAGTGAAATGAAGTTAGTTATTGTTTGAAGTACAATAGCTGAGAATAGTGTTTTACTTCGGATTGTTGATTATAAGCATTTGTTATAAGCATTGTTTATATTTCACATTACAGGTATTAGAACAGATTTCACAAAGAGATCTAATTTACCTTCAGATGTAGATATTACTGACATGATTTTATATTGAGTATATTTTAATTGCATGTATGTTAAAATTTTATCTTAATCTTCACTTATATTATTACGTATCTGTTCTCGCGACATCGTTCGCTCGACAATAGCTAATTAAAATGAATAAGTTTCATACTAAGTTCTAACACCGTTTTTTTTTGTCTTGTAACGTAAATTTTCTAAAATCCTTTCTTAGCTGTATCCATACATAGCACAAACATAATTATCTGATTAAATTTCTCATTGTAACATAAATTTTCAGACCAAATTTCCCATCATAACACAAACTATCGGACCTTATATTAGCTGTCGTAGTTTTTGAATTTCGTCAGTAAGTATTATTTTAAGTATACCTACATATTTCGATCGTATATAAAAACGATATTGTTATGTATATATTATATAGATATATTCTCATTTGACGTAGAAACAAATAAAGGATTAATCTATACTTTTGCGGGAATATAACTTGTTTCAGAAATAGATATCATCAGTCTAGTAGTAGTCAGTTTTGTCTGAACTATTTTAAACATTTTTTGAAGTTATACTTCTTTTGGCACGTTTGGTAAAAGTTATGAGAATAAAAATTTTATGATACGCGCGCACACCGACAGCCAAAAAGCGACATGATGAAGTTAGCTGCATTCCTTTTACAAGCAGAGAGTTGTGGCATACGGGGTGAAATCTTTAGCTATTTTTGTTTCTGTTACGCGAAAGAAGTATAACTTCTTACGTGCGTAAATATGTAAGTACGCATACTTTTTTTTTACTCATTTATTTATTTTTATTGTAAAACAACATAGTACATAGCGTTATCACTTGTATTTAGTTATTTAGTATAAAAATACTGCACTAAATACCATACTTACAGGTATTCAACATGTAGTTACTACTTAATCACCACTATTCTTAAAAACCTTATTATAAAATTTAGTTTAAGCGTCATTATCGTATGCGACAATTTAAAAACTAATTCTCATACTCGATAATTTTACTAACATTTTATGAAATGCCTCCATCTCAAATTCACGTGAAACGAGGCAAATCGAAATGGCTTTTTAAACGCGCTCTTACGTCCAATTGAGAAATAATTTCTTTTTGTACATTTGCCGCAAATTGTATGAGGTTTTTGTTCGCAGGCGACAATTTATACTATGTATGTTATAATAATATGAATATGTGACAGAGTCAATTTAAACGCCAGTTATAACTTTAAATAAATAATTTGCTTAATCTATAAATTTTAAAATCGATGCATGTAAGTTCCCTATGGACTCAAAAACGGTTGGAACGATTTTCATGAAATATTATCTAATATAACTCAAGTTAAATAATAGATCTTGAAAATTCCAATAATGATTTACGTTATACCAATTAAAATATCGAATTTCAAATTCATATTCAACATTATGATCCAATTTTCAATATTTTATTCCATTAAGGTACAGACAAGAGTGTTACATGATAGAGGTCTAGCTGTAACAGGGTTACCGTTGCAAAATTATCTTTAGTCTTCTTCAACTGCATATTAATCATTTATGGACTATATAGCAGAGATCGCAAAGCCTCAGCCACTGGGTCATTAAATGCGCAAAAATTTCTTATAAATAATAATAATACTAAAAAATAAGGTATTTTTTAAAGAAAATTCACCCCTTAAAAGGATAAAAATTAGTATTAGAAAGTTGTACAATGCTTGTTAGGATTAAAAAATAGACTAAAGTCTCAGTTTGCAAATACAACATACATATTACATATACTTAAAGGAAAAGAAAATCATAGTTAGAAATATTGAACAAAATGCTAGGAATACTCTTAGCTAAAACCCTTAACTAATTTGATAAGGTTTCACTGATTTCACAAGACCTAAATATTTTAGGTACTTCAAGATTAATTTCAACATATATAGGCTAAGTGGACTTGCATTGTTATCTGCCTTATCACTTTATTTGAAGAGTTCACAGCGCTAAATAGATTTTAAAACAAGTTCTATAGTAATTGAAACAAGTTTAGTTAATCATGCACGAAATTAGTATACATATATATGTACCTTTAATAATAAATTATTTTTTATAGATACATTCATTAATCATTCTTTTAAAGCTTTAACTTTAAAAAAGTAGGCGAAGGAAAACATCGAGAAGAAAATTGCATGTCTGAAGAACCTAGCACGCTTTTGATAGACATGTGAAGTCCACCAAACCGAACTTGGTGGACTATGACCTGATTCCCCCATTTATTAAAGGGAGGCCCGTAGCCAGCAGTGGGCAATAGTTGGTATAATAACCCTCTTTCGGGCTTCGCTGCAGTCGGATAAAGACGCAGAAGTTTGAATTAGAGCTTTTTTAAACTCTAAGAATAATATTGTTGTAACTACATGAGAATTATATTTTGTACTAGCGATTGTAGCGATAGTGCATTCCTAGATGCTTTTAGTAGGTATTTATAAAAGTATATACAGATAAATCTAAGTGAAGAAGTAACAAACATAACGTATATACGTTTCGTATTAATATTAGTGGTGTGATTTGATTTGTAATTATAATTTTATATAAGCAATACTTACGATTATCACTGAAGTCATCGACTAGGATGATTTCTTTTATGAGATGTTCCGGACTTCTGTTTAGAACACTAAAATAAAGAAAAGACAATTTAGTTGTTTAATTAACTTCATACCTGTGACCTTTCTTTTATGTAAAGAATTTTCAAATTATATTCAACTAGCGACTCTCCCCACAAACTTTCATCCCCATTTTCACTTCTTAAGGGATGCTTTCCGGGATAAAAACTATCCCATGTCCTTTCCAGGGTCTCAAACTATCTTTTTACCAAATTTCATCAAAATTGGTACACTAGTTTCGGAGCTTATTCGATACAAACAAACAAACAAACGAAAAAATCTTTCCTCCTTATAATATTAGTATAGATTAATTTGGCTTCACAAACAATTTTATAATAATCATTGAAATAATAGTAAAATTATTATACATAAATCGATTAGTAAGGAATTTCTTCGTCTATTAGTTTTCAAAATACTTTACAACAATCTTGTGAAAGAAAGACTTTATGTTGTTCATTTTACCTGACGATGGTGCGCAGGAGTGTTGATCGCGCTTCATTGTGAAATGTGATGATTACGCTCGTTTGAGGTAGGTCTTCATCGTATTTCTTTAGCCGGCACCTAAAAGTTTTTCATATATGAAAATCTCTATATATGTACGTACATATAAATAAAATTGAATTGTCTGTCTGTTATTTCAAAACAACTATGTTTATACATAAAGTTAAGGAAACAAACCCGCATGCATTTATAATATAACAGAGAGTGAGAGAGAATAAACACTGTTACTGGTTTAGGAAGATGAAACAAATTTCTTGATTAAATTTTTATCTTTTATATAATCTCGTAGCTTCTTTTCAATCTTAAAAGTAATCGTTTCGTCTTAGGAGAGGATTGTTATTAAATATTATTTATATTATTTGAGAAAATACGAAAGTTAAGATATAATTTAAACCGGTTCATAATAAAATATATCGCATAACATACATAAAAACACACCCTTTATTGAATACTTTGTATTATTTAAATATTAGTAAAAATATTTTTTAACTTACATAGCATTTCTCGTGTCAGGTACAGCTCTATTACTCGATAGATTGTCAGATGCAGCTTGGTTAAACCTATTGCGGACATAGGGATCGTTGTCTCGTGCACCCCCCGTGACGTATCCCGCTTCGTCGAAGTACCTTCCTGTACTTCCCGTGCCATATTCTTCAGGAGATGCAGGACTGCTTTCTGGTTCATCCACATGTTGTTTTATAAGCCTGAGAGCTATATTTTCTTCCTGTAACAAAAAACATATAATTGATATTATACTAAATAATAGATTATCATAAGTGAATATTTTGCTGTTCCAATATTAATATTACATATGTACGTGTCGAATAGATAACCTTCTTTTTTGGAAGTCGTTTAAAAAAAGGGAGGACGTACATATTTTACTATATGACAGATTTATAATATTATTTTTAATTAAAAAGGTACAGAGAGTTCAATATTATTTTAAGTGTAATAAAAATGATTGCATAATAAAAAAAGTATTATGAAAATCGGCTTCACAAAAAACGTACACCTGAATTGAGTATTTTGTCCATTTTTGAATCATAATGTAATCAAAGTGGTTTTAAATCAGTCTGATTTAAATTTAAAGAAAAAATGCAGTAAATATTATATTTATCATCTATTTAACATACTGATATTATATGGACTCTACAACACTGAAAACTTTAGACTTTTTTTAGAGACACTATGAAAGTATAATATTTACAATTTGTTTATTGAATAAACTTTTATATGTAAGTACATTTGAAAAATGTAACAAGTTAAAAATATCCACAACGTCCCGCCATATAATAAATTAATAATGTAGACGGAAGCTAAGTGCGAGCTGGAGCATGGTCGGTTTCAGACTCATGTATAATTAATTTACTTCAAAAATCTTCTACCTCGCAAGATCTTGCTTTATTTAATTTATATCTTATGTCTCTGTAAACAAGGCTTAAAATCTATTGAACTAATTTATATTAAATCATTCTTGACTTCTGAAATTTACACTTTGCTACTTTGACTGTACCAATACGGGTAGGGATCAAAGAGCACAAGTTCATTTACAATACATATAAAACGAAAAAAGGTTGCACGTATGGACGTCTTCATTTCAAGAGCTACTAAAAAGTTTCGCATTGTTATTCGCATAAATGTGTTTTGCCTATGAAACTAGCTGTTTTATGCGATGAATAAGTTATTAGTTTTTTGATTAGAACTAGCTACTTGCCATAGCTTTGCTCAGGTGCGTTCCTAGATCCCCCCCAACGTGCGTTCACCTTGTCGTGGTGGGGGGGCTCAGTAGTGCCCGGCAACCCAACCGGGCGCGAAGCCAAGAAACGCACAGGGAGGTGGCCCACTTCGGTGGGCGGTGGGAGGCGCTCTCTTCGGAGGGCGGTGAACCATGCGGGTTGCTCCTGGTACTTCTCTGATAGCAGAGTGGACCTTGGAGCAACCCCGTGGTTGTTGTGGTCTGCTTCGGCAGACCTGCCGTCGGGGCGTCGTAGTTGAATGCGTAAGCGATCCTGCGACGCCCCATTAAGACGGGGGAAGGCTTTGTTGGGTTTTAGTGGGTAGTACTGGCTTTGCCGGTGAGTCCCACACGTCGTGCGTAAATGCATTTCCCAACGTTAAAAAAAAAAAAAAAGGTGCGTTCCTAGATACATTTCAATTTTTTAGAGCGGATCCCTAATTCTTTTTCTAAAATAAAAGTACTAAGTCACTCCTTATAGCATCAGCTATGCCAGTGAAAGTCCCGTCAAAGTCAGTCCATCCGTTTCGGAGATTAGCCGGAACAAGCAGACAGATAGACAAACAAACATTTTAAAAATTGTGTTTTTCTTATAAGTAGGTACTGTATATAATTTCATATGCATTTAGTAAAAAGTTGTTATTTTGACATTACAAACAGACACTTCAATTTTATTTATCTGATATCAATTTGTTATACATATCTCTAATCCAGTGTAAAATACAAGAAAAGAATATGTAAATAAATATAAATGCGCTCTCTGCGAAAAATTAAGTTATAAAAAACGATATTGTTTTGATTTATATCTAACCTTTTTCATTATTAAAAAAATATATCGACAATTGTTTAAAATAATTGCTATTATTATTGTTTTTTTACAAACTTCAGCAGAAACGAATTCAATGGAACAATAATCGCATCGTATCACCTTGACACATGACACCTGCTTCTGTTGGACAGGTATGTGAGAATTACGTAAATAGTCTGGCTGAAGGTAGTTGGATCTGTTATTTATTTTGCAACAAACTTGTTTCTGTTGCGAAAGCTGAGATTATGACATCATACTGGAAAATTAAGATCAAAAAGCAATATATGCAACTACTGACATGTCCTTGCTTTGTTCTGATGAGTTCTAAGGTCAATTTTGTAATAAACTATCCTATAAGAACTCCTTCATTAGTTAAAAAGTAGCCTATGTTGGTCCCTGGTCCATAAAATGGATCATGTAGATATATGTACCTTTTAGTATTTATTGTAAGAGAATACGAATGTAAGAAAATGTAACTTAGGATAAACTAACAAAATCTCTCTCATCTCAATTATACTATTAGTGGGAACTTAAGAGTATATTACTATCTAACAATTTGACAACACGTTTGGTTCACATAATACTTTCTTAGATTTACGCGAATGTTTGACATTATTAAATAAAACTATCTTTTCGGATTATTTCGCGGATTTATTTTGATTTTTGGTTCCCGACGTTTCGAATGCTTTACAGCATCCATGGTCACGGGAGAGTCTCTCCCGTGACCATGGATGCTGTAAAGCATTCGAAACGTCGGGAACCAAAAATCGAAATAATCCGAAAAGATAGTTTTATTTAATAACGTTTGGTTCAGTTTGTAGTGAACCCACTTGCCGTAACAGCAGTCGCGGGTTCGAGTCTCGCTGGGGGTATTCATTTGGGTGATGAGCACGAATGTTTGTACTCCAGTCCAGAGCGTTTATATTTATAATATGTATTTAAAGTTATATATGTGTAGTGTATCAACTATCTGGTATCCATAACACACGCCTCGTAGCATACCATGGAACTAGATGGTGCTGTGTGTTAATATCCCAACATATTTATTTAATATTAGTATAAAATATAAAATAGTTCTTAATATAAACTATCAGTGAACGAAACCTTTTTAGTTCATATAACCTAGTTTTATATGAAGCCCATAAACCGTTCCAAACGTGACACGAGATAGGCCGCAAATGTGAATTACGTGTGTAACTTGCATAAGCGGGCTTAGTGAACCTTACGTAACTATAGTCAAAATATCCAATTTTTTTACACCGCTTAATTTAAAATGAAGGACGTGACCTCTGCTACATTGAAGTAATGACGATCAACAAAACAAGTGGTTTGTTATCTAACAAGCTATGTTATTTAGGTAATAACAATTACGTTTATAGTAAAAAATTGTTTTTAACTGAATTCAAAATCACTATTAAGTATTAATTCTATTTTGGAGGCGGTTTTTTTTGACAATTCATATAGAATTATTCTTTAGTTATTTATTAACACCAGAAAAAATACCTATACAAATAATAAAATTCTAAGTAAGCCGAATCTGTACATTAAATATTTTTTGGAAAATCTTATTGAAATAAACATAATTATCGACACAGAGGCCGAATCTACAGTTTTTAGAATTTTTGTCTGTCTGTACTGCATCACAGAATAACCACTGGAGTGAATTTGATGAAATTTTGTATGATGATAGCTGGTTATACAGGTCAACATATAGGATACTTTTTACCGCGGGAAAATGTCTCATTTCTGAGAAAAAATACAAAAACTGCAATGTAAGAGTATATTAATATGTAAAATCTAAGAATTTGGTTTTTGGTCACCTGAAAGTGGGCGGAGCCGCGGGCAATGCTAGTTTAACGTATAAAAATATAGATAGGTATATTTTTTAATCGTGTTCGTTGTTTGTTGCAAATTTAAACAAGTCATTCAAAACAACAACCATTTATTCATATACAGAGATAGAGTAAATAAAAAAGGTATAATATATTTATATTTTCTAGATGAATAAACTGTTAAAGTAACTGTTTAATTTTTACCAGGTGTCAGTATTACGCGTTATGGGAATTTTATAGTCTATTTAAAGATGTTTCAAAAGACTTTTTTATTAAAATCTCAGCTAAATATTTGTATACTGTAAGCTAACATATTTTTCATGTTTTCGCTTGACAATAAATTAATGAATGTTGTGATTGATAGTTGATATAGTTGACTTACTTTTACTACTATATAAATGCGAAATTTTGGATGGATGGGATGTTTGTTACTCAATCACACCAGAACCGCTGAACAGATTTAGATGATATTCGGCACTTTATATACCTACTTTATATTATAGTCTGAAATAGTACATACTCGAAGAAATTTTTTTATCTCGGAAAAATGTACGGTTCCCGTGGAATAGATTTGTTTTTATTTGACACTAGCGACAAACTCGAGCGATGCGAGTGTCAGCTGCTAGTACCTAATACTATAAAAATATTGAAAAAATGAATATTTCAAGTTGTAAAGTTAAAATTGTAAGCATAACTTCATTGTTTATGCAACATAACTCACAGTTACCTATATAATTTTGCTGAATTGTACTAAAATATGTAGTCTAGTTATTAATGGGGCGGTTTCTCACGCTGTTAGTAATTTTATAATCGTAAGAACAAATTGAATGACACTTTGTTCTCTGTTTCTTAATTTTCTGACAAGATAATTGAGTTTCGTAAATCTTTTGATTTTATGCCATTCTTTAGAAACTTAAAATAGTTGGAGGTCGTTGATATACAATTCGTACTAATAATATGAATGTAAACATAATTCTGTCTGCCTGTTTGTTATCTTCTTACGCTTAAACAAAAGGTTTTGATTAAACATTTTTGTTGTTCGAGTGTATTCCTTTTTTTGTTATAATTATCTCATATATAGTGTTCAAGTATGTTTTATATTATAAACCGCGCCATGTCAACTTAAAATGTAAAGCATTTTACTATTTGTAGTATTCATTAATATTTTTAGATATTAAAAAATGTAATAACAACTGTGTGTCTATTAAAGAAATAAATAGATTAATTTGCAAATTTGATTGTATCATGAGAACAGACATATCTACTTTTTATCTTCAAGTGGAGCTGCGGGCAAAAATTAGTGACATAAATCACTTAATTGTCTACAAGTATTAAAGAACTGAATTTCT